ACACAACTATAATATAATATTTATATAAATATAAATAATATTTATTTTTAAATTAAAATAATGTAGATAAAAATTTTCATTAATTTTAAAACAGAATTAATTAAAATTTTTTATAAATATTACTAATATTAAATATTTGTAATATTACTAATATTAAATTTTCTGTAATTGTATGTTGATCCTTTTTTTTCGAGTAAGCGCAACTGGGCACTTTTACTCTTTGATAGCTGGGGGCACTACAGGGTCCCACCCATCTCATTGACTAATTTATGTATTGCCTATAAGCTTCATGATTATTCAGTGATTGATCTAAGATCTGCGTATCTCCCCGTGCGGAGAGTGATTACTCTAAGATTAGATAGTGGTAAGTAGGATAGCCTGTCAATTTTCGTATATAACTTCAGGGCAGCTGAAAAAGTATGATGGAGCCATACTATATAAATTTTAACAATAGTACATAAACATATATATATCCAAATTTTGAATATTATTAAAATGGTTTTTTTTCATGTTTTTACCAATGTCATCTTACAATATTTATGTTTTTAGTTGAACAATTTAGGTTATTTTTGCTTTAATATTAAATAAAAGTATTAAGTATTAAGGACAAGTAAAACTCGCAATAGTCGGTTTACCATGCAATTTAATATTTGGCATGCAACGTATAGCCCTGAATTTTTCCAAAGTAAATTTGTGGTCTATCACAGCGTTTGTTTGCTGTTAGTCTATTTGAAAAAAAAAATAAAAAATTAAAAAAACTTTAATAATCAAGGATATGACAATCATTTTAAAAATTATTAACATTTAGAATCACATTTCACTAAGGCATGTGCGTTGTTGTTGTTGTTGTTGTTGTTGTTGTAAGAGATCATAAGAAATGTCCTATCACTAAGAAAGCGTACCGCCAAGAAGTTTTGCTTTCCTCGCCATTTTTGAAACTACGGTTGATAAGTAGATATTAAGAAGTGATTTTAGGATATAAGTTAAAACGATATTGCATAATATATATCTTATATTAGTGATTAAGTAGTTTCAACTGTATAGTGACGTTTTATACCACAAGATATATAATCAAGTGATTACTGTAGATTACATTTTGTATTTGTCTTCAGTTAGTAAACAGAATATTTCTTTTGTGACATTATCATCATCATCATTTGTGAGATAACTCTGTATATGTCTCGACCTAACATATAGTAACTTCCGTCTGCATTACTATAAATTCTTTCTTGTAAGAAATAGAGTTGTTCCGCTAAGCGCTACCTTATGAGTGCGCACGTCGACGACATAATGGTTTCTTTAAACATAAATGTGGCAGCCAGGTTAAAAAAATTAAAAAAAAAAAAATAAAATTGCGCATTTTGTCCTTGTTTAGTAGTAGTCAGTTGGTGAATATCCATTATAGGTGTACCTTTCTTGAGATTATCATTATTATTCTCATCATATGTGAGGTAACACTATTTGTATCTTCTTCTAGAGTTACTGTCATCTTCATTCAATATGATTCGAGCTATAGTTATCTAATTTCTTATTCCTGAAATTTCTTTACTTCATGATTTCATCATTAGTTCACAGCGTTATCCACTTTAGTTTCGGATTCCTCTGCTTCGATTTTTTCTGCTTAGGCTTTCTAAACATTACCCCATCATGTCATGTGTTAGGCGATCATTATATGGGACCTAATAACTTTGTTTTTACTGTTAATATGCCTAATAATAGTAGTGTCGATATGAATCATACGTCTTGCACATTGCCCTACATGACACGTGTTGATGGGAGAGGTTTTATTGGCTCTTATAGTGTGTTGTGTAGATCTCGAGATATTCGTTTTGTGTTTTATTAGAGTTTCTATGCAATCTTTGTGTAGAAGTTGATGTTCATATATATACGTATATTTTGCAGTATATACAATCAACTTCTATTTTTCTATATAGGTAGTTCCTAAGATTTTAAAATCACCCTCCATACCAATATTCGTAGTTTGTTTTAATTTACTTTTTTGTTTAAGAAAATCAGTTCACAGTTATTTGTACTAAAAAAGAAGCCATTTTATTAATTATACGAGTATAAAATTAAAAATTATATATACATATTGCATATTAAACATATTCTATATCTAACAAAGCTAATTAAACTTAACTAATTTCTTCAAGCTTATTTGAATCTACTTTATTTCGTTTATTTGTAGGTCCAAATAAACTGAGTACAACCGGTAATAATATCAGACCGTGGGCTGCACCAATAAGCACGATGCCTAGGTACATACGGAAGTAAAATACTTGAAATACTTGTGATTTCGAAAATCCTAAAACTGCAATACCAGCAAATTTCGTAAGTGTAATACCAGACAAAACACTACTACCGGTCAATGAGAGCGCTGTACTGGCACGTTCCTGATTGGTACCAATACAATTTTTAAAGGCGCGTATAATGTGTGCTACAAATTCAACACCAATACCAACACACACGACTAAATTGACCAAAGAGACAGCATTTAGTGTTATATTCCAAGCCCACATCATGCCACCCATATTTATAAGTATAATCAACACCATGAATGTAACCATTAAAGATGAAATAATATCAAAACCAGTGATCAAGAACGTCACCAAAAATATTGCTGCCAAAGATATAGATAGTGAAAATAGTGCATCATCCCAAATTGTTAAATATTGTTCATAGAAGATAAAGAATACACAGTATGGGAAAACTGTGGCATCTACATTATTTTTCGAAAGCATGTCATTAATTTCTTCAGCTACTCTATTCGCTTCTCTTAGAGCTGAATAAAATTGTATGGAAGTAGTTGAAGTCGTAGAATATTGCATTAGGTATGTATCCGTTATGGTACTTTCGCCATATTGATCCAAAGTATATATAACCGCCTAGACATGTAAGAATTACACACTATTAAAACAAATATATGTATATAATAATGTATTAATCAACTTACATCAGCATATGAGGCTCTTCCAGCTTTAGCACACTCAGCATCTGGTAAATCAGATAGGAAAAATGGTACGTACTTGCGAAATGTTTCGCTTGAAGGTCTTAGGCCATCCTCTGTGAACTCACGACTGCATGGTTCACAATCATCACTTTTTGAATCTAATAAATGATAATAACATAATTATTTATATTGAGCTGTAGCCATTCGATTGAGAAGTAAGAAAAGGTTAGTTAGGTATATCTCACAATAGAGAAGTAAATTATTTTCAAAATTTGTGTTTACTAAAAATTAAATTAATTAAAATATTTTAATGATTAAATTTGAGTAAGAATGAATTAATTTATTTTTAATTATTCAATCAAATATCGCGTTACTTACTGCTAGGGCAAAATTCACCACTTGTTGCGTTGACTTTACAGCAATCCGATATACTCAACCAATCAATGTAATCATCAATCCACGATGAAGCCGGACGTGCAAGATAAGTGCTTTTAAGAAATAACTATTTAATTAAACTAATTTCTTAAGTTAACTTAATACTTACATATCTGGATAACGTGATTGTGTGTACAACATAACAGACATCGAATTATTGTTGCACTCTACTCCGCCACAAATTAAATTCTGATGATCTCTTTCAGTATAATTCAGTCCTGGCTTAATTACCCAATAGACCGGTGCACCAGTTGCTAGGAGTTCAGACATAAAACGGAAATATTTAACTACATGCGAGTCCTTTGGCATTGACATTTCTTGATCCAAGCCGAGTTCAATAGACGGTACAACCATCAATGATAGACAAGTGATTATAGTGAATATAAGCAACACAATGAATTTAACTGGTCTAACAATATAATAATTATTATAATCGACTTCGAAAATGTGGTAAATATATATTTTACTCTAAGCTTACTTGGACAACAGGAATGGTGTGTAGAAGTTTTTAAATAGTTTTTCTAAAAATCCTACATCATTATCATGTTCAACGTTTTTAGATGTACGAACACAGCAAATAAGATCCAAACGTCCTGATTCGTAACGTCGTTCATCCAATGCCATTAGTGCAACAAAAGCTGTAATTTGGAACAAGAAATCTAAGGAGATAGCAGCAGCAGCATATAAAGCAAATGTTTTAACAGCAGGCATATCCGAAATGGCACCTTTAAAATACAATTATCAATTAAATATTCCACACACATATAATAGAAAATATTATCATTACTCCTTACCTATGGCAAAACATGCAAATTCAGAACCAGCAGTTTGCAAAATAGAGGGTCCAACTAATCCTATAGCTTCACCAATAGCTTCTGCTACAGTTGTATGTTGAGTCCGATCTAATCGATGATAGGTGTGTACCATTATGAAAATATTATCAACACCAACTGCTAATACCAAAAATGGAATTACTTCAATGGCTAACATGGTTGTTGTTACTTTTAAATAACCCCAGAAACCTAAACTGCAAACAACTGATACCAGTACGATAACTATACCACCTATAGCTAATACAATTTTAGATTCACGGAAGAATCTCACACAGCTACGTATTTTTCCCAAAGCTATTGCTACATAAATAAACATAACAACGTAACTGATTACGACTGTTGAAACTTCACCCTCGGAGAGTTCAATGATAGCATCTTGAATGGAACGTTCTGCTGAGAATGCTATTTCAATGGAATTGTTTGTATAATTTTTTAGCAAATCAATAAAGTTTTTCTCCCATTCTAAATTTGGTTCCAGAAGAGCTTCATTATTGTGATTTTTACCCAGAAAAGTTAACGCCAAACCGGTTGCTAATAGATAGTCGGGATCTTCGTTGGGATCAACTTTTGGCATTCCTGAAAAAGTTATTTGTAAATAATAATAATCAAAACTATGTTGTTAGTGTATAAATACTTACCTCCGACTGCAACACTAGGTTCTATAGGGCCGCCATAGAGACCAAAACAATCTTCTAACATTGGTACTCTGAATTCGAATAACAAAAAAATAAATTTAATGTTTTGAATTATATTAATTGTTACGGTAACATTCTTTATATATTATATTATATATTAAAAAAAAGCAATGAACTATATATAAAAATGAATATATAAAATATATAAATAAAATATTACTTTTATAGAACTCTATAGCAAAATTTTAATGTTTAAACTTTTTTGTCCTTTAGCGACTGAGGTGGAGAGGTTATGATTGCCCAGAAGTTTGGAAAAGAGTGGACTGTTTGACCAATATTTTATTTATAAAATTAAAATAAAATAATTCACAAAAAATAACAAATAAATAAAAAACCGAGAAAAACACTCCGGGAGTGCAGGCAGAAGTGAAAACTTGAACTTATGGCGCGTTAGGCACTTTTTTGGGTGAGCATTTTTAGGTGCGCTCGCGACATGAGAAATTGTACATAAAAAATCAAGTTTATCCAAGCAATGTGGGCACTTTTTGAATGGACATGAAGTATAATAATATAGAAACTATATTCGAAGGAAGTGGTTTTATTTAAATGAGTAAATATTAGTAAATAGTAAATACAAAATTTATCAGTTCTCATCCATAATTTCAACAACTCTTACATCATCATTATCAGCATTTTCATCATTATTATCAGGATTTTCATCAAATTCTAAAACTGATACAATAGGTCTATGGTAACTAAAGTATGAAATAAACAATTTTGATTTAAATCTATTTATATATCTTGTGAATACTGCATCAATAGTAGTTTTGTATTTTGTTGTGCTAAGATTGCGATCATTGGACATCGTTAAATCAAATTCTTGATATAAAAATTCAATTAATGATTGATTTTTGACATCTGCAAAGTTTATGTTGAAATCTCCACTCAAAATCATAGTATAATGATCAAATCTTCTATTAATTTTCATCATAAATATTGCGGAAGCAGCTTTAGAATAAATGAATAAATTTGAATACAAGAACTCTCGTATTGCTTGTAAAGACTGTTTTGGTGAAATATAAACGGCAGCCATTATTATTGTTTGTCCATTAGAATGGCATTAGGAAATACATATATCACCAATATTCGAAACATTAGTGCTAAACATACTGGTATATCTCGCATGCACTTCCATATGATCTGTAGAAAATGTGGCCATAGTATCATTGGACCGATGATAAATAGCCACCCCACCTGCTGGACGATTGTCTCTTTTGAAACTTGCTATAAAGTTGAAATATAAAGTGATGACGAGCAGCAGTTGTAATAATGTATACAAAATATAACACTATAGTATACAAAAGCACTACAACAATGTTTTTATTAATTCTATTAACACTTTAGATTTGTTTTTTTTTGTTTTTTTAACACAATACCATAGCAGCAACACAAGTCAAATGAAATATTTAAATCAGGGTTTGAAAAATGATGATGATGAAATCAGCAAAAAAATGATAGCGAGATGAGAGCAGAGCAGATCATTTTTTTTTTTTCATGTGCAACGGCTCCCGCCGTTGTTGTTTAACACACACACAAAAACAGACATACTAATGCAGACACACAATGCAGACATACAATGCAGACACACTAAATTTGACTCAACTAAATTTGATGTGCTCTGCTCTGCTATGGCTCTCGTCAAAGTGAGAGCGATAGCAGTAGCATAGCAATTATCTGTCGCGAGGGCACGAACGAATGCCCATGCAAAGACTGCGTATAGCATGCAGCGCTCTCGCATACCTATACACTCTGAATACACATATAGGTATGTAATCTCGTCTGTCGCGAGAGCACGAACGAATGCCCATGCAAAGAGCGCGTATAGTATACATATATTATACAAATACCCGCGGAGTATATCTGTGTAAAATCTCATCTGTCAGATCGGCTGAAAATGCTCACCCAAAAAGTGCCTAACGCGCCATAAGAAGTTTTCACTTCAAAAAAAAACTATTTACTATATCTGTATGCAAAATATTTTTATTTTCTATTATGTTAATTATATTGTAAAATAATGAATCAACAACTGTAAACATCAAAAGCTCCAACCAGTAGTTGTTTCTTCGCAAGTGCAGTGAATTTCTTATGAATTCTTTATGAATATTAACTTTTATATCGAGCGTTAATTTTTTGTATATTTCTGTATGTACATATTTCTGCAATTTCGCTTCTGCCTTCATCACGAGAATTCTTAATATTAAAAACATCTATGCAATTTGCACACTATTTATACTTATAAAACAGGTGTTATAAATAATCTTAATTAGTATGGTTTTTTGTTTTTGCATTTTACGGTGCTAGTTAAAAATCGAAATCATTCTTTCAATAAAACATAGCAGAATCAGTGAAGACATTTATCCCGAATTCCGTCAGAAAAATGCTTTTAAAGATTCATGCAAAAGTCTTTGCACTGAACATCCTACATTTACGCTCCCATATCGGAATCCACAGAAAAAGAAAGCAACGAGTTCTACGCAGAAATATCCGAACTACTGAAACATACGAAGTCCCATGAATTTAATCTTGTTGAATATTTGTTTATATTATGTTATATTATGAATATTTTGTTGTCATTAATTTTGTATGAATAATTTGTTATTTTTATTTGTATTGTAATAATTGTGTTAAATATATTTGGTGTAGAAAATAACGTTGTGAATGCAATGCCCAAAATACGTCATACGCTTCTGTTGGCACATGAAAACAAAAGCGTCAAATTTCGTCTGCAAGAAAATGCACTCTTGCAGTTTGCAATAAGTTCATTGTTTGGCATGCATGGTCAAGGTTATTTTAGTTAATTTATTTGTTGTAAATTAATTATCAATTTTAAATAAAAGGCACAATTGAATTTTTGACAATTCAATTGATGCGAAGCCACATTCGTTATCGATTCTTTTTTGTTTGTTCTAATAGCTTGTAGATTTGGTTCAAGTGCTAAATTTACACCATATAAGCACCTGACTACTGGATTCAAGTCTTCAGTAATCAGTATAATTTAGGACAATCTTCAAATCACTGGGTTCAAGTGCTCAGTGGTTCTCGTGTTCAAATAAGTCAACATAAGTACTGGATTTAAGAGTTCAGTACTTGCAAACAGTTGATTTCAACCTTTGATTCAGCGTGTGATCATACATTTTGGTGTGATCGTACAAATCTCATTATTAGAGAAATTAAATTTCAAAGTAAGATCAGGTGCGGCGGAAGGAATAGTTGGTGAGTATGATCTTGGAATAAATAACGATAGGGGCGACAAACTCATTCAATTCTATCACCGAACAAATGATTTTGCCTACATCCGAGGAGACTCTACACTTAGACGTTGAAATAACTGCAAAATCTCACATCACACCAAAATATCTCTAATGAAATTAACAGCAAACTTGCCAACATAGATCACCAAAACACAAACTATTTGGAGATTTGTAATCAAACTACAGAAATCCTTGCAATTGTACCAAATAATCTGCCAAATAAAACTACTTGGAGATTTGTAATCAAACTGCAGAAATCCTTGCAATTGTACCAAACAACCTGCCAGATAAAAAACATCAAGCTAAAGCTTGATGACTGAAGAGACTTTAGAACTAATGGATGACAGAGGATCCTATAAGAACAAATAATATAACGAATACAGAGTTTTCCAAAGAACAATCCAATCTAAAATTAGACAAGCAAAGACCAACTGAACATATGTTAGTAAAATAGAAAGACTCCAAAATTTACACAATGACTTCAATTTATAAGAAGTGAAATATCTGGAAGCAATTTATCAATAAGTTATTTGAAGATAATACTAAGAACACCACCATTAACGATCACAATCAAGAACTATGGTCAGGTCCTGTAATAACCAAAGGTAAGATCCAAAAAGCCATCAAATCATATAAAAACAAAAAAGCAATTGGTTTAGATGAAATACTAATAGAAATGATCAAACTTTTGGACAACAACCTAGATGTGCAAGAAAAAAATCTTGTATGGTATTTAATGACAGTGGTGTATATCCTCAAAATTGGCTAAAAACCGCATTCATTGCAATAACCAAATTCATCAACGCTAGAAAATGCAGTGAATATGGACTTATAAGTTTGATGAGTCATATATTAAAAATATTCCTAAAAATAATATATATCAGATTATTCAAGAAATGTGAAGAAATTATGGGCAACACACAGTTTGGTTTTAAAGAAGCAATGGAAACACGACAGGATTTCTTCAGCCTCCAAGTTTAGTACAAAATTAAAAGATGTTCAGAAAGACATTGTTGGAAGTTTAACTTGTTATGCAAAGATTTAAATGCACAACACTTTAATCAAAAAATGAAACTAATTTATACAAATTTTATATACAAATTTTATATGTTCTCAGTATGTTTTTGCTCATTACAGTTACTCATAAATTTATTTATAATAATCAAAGTAAAACAAATGTGTATGTAATTTTAACTTAATTTCTCAATATCTTACATTGGATGTTTAATGTTTTATTGGTATAATCAAGTAAAATAAATATACTTATATAAGTTACAAATAGATATTAAACACGACTGACTGAAAACGAAATTGTAAATTTTATAAATACGCATCAAGAGAGCGATGTGCTACGTTGATTTTTGATTGTTGTAAAATTCATGTGTTTTTATGAATGTTTGCTTTTAATATTTATTGGGCACAACTGCCAAAATAGAAGCGTTTTTAATTAATACAATACAATTCAATTTTTTGCTATTCGTTAATCATTATTGACTTTTTACAGTTTCTACAATACAATTTAATTTTTTGTTATTCGTTAATCATTTTGTTTTTTGTGCGCACCCGCACAAGAAAAAGAATTGAACCAACGAAGTTTACTTGAAACCAGAAAAATATTATAAAATTGCTCATCTTAAGGGCAAAAACAAAAAGCAATAATAGTAAGAATTAGAACCCTGGATTTGATTACATATTATACAGGAGGTTAATTAGATTAATAAATTACACATATCTCAACTATATAATATATAAAAGATTAATTACATAATATATTATTTATATAATATTGTAATTATATA